GTATAATGTACTTTTGAGTATTTCCTGTAGGGCAGATCCAGGTATGGCAAATTCCTTTAGTGTTTGCTTGCCTGAAAAAGTGTCTATTTCTTTATCACTTATGAATCTTGATTCTTCAGGATATAAAGTTCTTAGCTGGCAGTTGTTCTATTTAAGATTAAAAATGAGGCCCAATCCTTCTGGCTTACAAGGTCTGCTGTTATTCTGCTGTGTTTTCCTTTATGGGCTGGTTGTTGCTTTTGTCTCATAGCTTATGGCATTTTCTCCTTCATTTTGACTTTGGTCAAGTTGATGACCATTTGTCCTGGAAATATCCTATTTGCCATGAATCCTCCTGGTGCTCAATGACCGTCTTGAATCTGGATACCTGAATCTCTGTGATACCAGAGAAGTTATCTTCAGTAATTCCTTTAAGTAGGTTTTCTATGATTTTTGGTATATCTTTTTCTCCCCAAGAAATACCTATAATTCATATTTTGGTTCATTTTACATAGTCCCAGATTTCTCTGAGTGCTCATTCTTCTTTATTCTTTTATTCTGCATCTGTGACCAACGGGGTTAGCACAAAAGCCTTTATTTCTCCTGCTAAGTCTAGGCTGTTGAAAATTTTCTGCTGTACTTTATAATTCTTTAAATGATTTTTTCGTTTCATTAAGTTCTGTTATATCTTATGTTGTCTATCTCATTAGTGAGTTTTTATATTTTTCACTCATGTCTTGAATTTTCTTTTTTTTCTTCTTCTTCGTTTTTGGCTACTTTATGTTGGTTTATCAACTTTCTCTTCAGTCTCATTCATGTTACTTGCCCTCTGTATTTTAGATTCCATATCTGACATGTTGATAATTTCCTTTTGGTTGAGCTCCGTTGCTATGAATATATTGTAATTTGGGGAGGAAATGTTGAACTAACTTGTTTTCTCATGTTGCTAGAATCCTTTTGCTGACTTCTTGTCATCTGAAATCTCTTCTCTGTGCTCAAGGCTGATAGGTTTGTAGGCTACTGTTTCTCCTTTGCTGGGAACTCTCCTACTTAGAAGAAAGATCACTAGATAGTGCTTTTGTGTCCTACTCCAGTGGATTGCCTGGGCAAGAGAGGGAAGATGCACTGAGAGACTGGATGAGGCTGTCTCCCTGTGGTTGTCATGGTCCAAGCTGATGCTGGGTGTAGTTATGTGACTACAGCTGGTGGCAGAGCATGTTCTGAGGCTTTGCCAAATGCTGAGGTGATCACCGCCTGATTACCACCACTGGATTTTAGCCAGTGCCTGAGCAGGTCATGGGAACTTGGCAGGTGCCTGGATGCATCAGGGGGCCTTGGCTAGCACCTGAGCAGGGTGCAGGACACAAGCGGGTCCCTTGACAGGTTGCAGGATCTTGTCAGGCACCTGGGAGATTGTGAGATCTTGGCAAGTACCTGAGTGCACTGTGGGACTGCCGCCAGGGTTAGGGCGGGTCACAGTTTATTGGTTCCTCTTTATCTGGGTTCCTATACAGATTGTGGGACCTTGTTGGGTACCTGTGCAGATCCATGGCAGGTCTCTGAACAGGTCAGGAGACTTGGTTGGTACTTGGACAGGTCACAGTACTGTGGCCAACAGCACGGTGGCTCATTTGGCCATAGTACCTGTGCCACCTGTGGCTGGCAGGGCCAAGAAGAGGTACAACACCCGCTGGGGAGTCATGGCAACTAGGGCTCTCCCTCCCCCAGGTGTGATGGGCAGCTGCTAAGGTGCTATTTAGGTGGCCGCAGCAGTGCTAGCGAGATGGTGAGATGGTGGTGGCAGATGCTGAGGGTCAGTGAGTCCCTGCTCTTCTCAGAACACCTGGGAGATGGCCATTGGAGGGATTTGGAGGACTGTTGGTGGGTGCATGGCACCCAGTCTTAGTGCATGTGAGAGTACTTGCCCTTTCTATTCCCTCTCTGGCTTCCCAGGGGTAATGGAGAGTTGGTTGCAGTGGAACCAACCGCTCTGCAGACTGGGTGCTCTGGAGCTGAGATAGCATATGACATCTGTTGCAGTGACCCTAAACCAGAAGCTGGTGGGACCCCACTGTGCCCTTTCTCTGGTACAGTGATGCTGCACACTCTCCAAGTAGCTCCCTGATCAGTCTGGAGGCCTACTTTGAGGGGGAGTTGCTTTGTACCTTAGATTGTCTGCTGAGGGAGTGTGGAATCCTAGAGATCTCTCTCCTGACTCTCCCCCATATGGATGCTTCCCCTCGGTACTCTCTGATCTCAATGCACAAATTGCCTTCCCTCTCTTTCACCCCTTTGGGTGTCTCCAGTCACCTCTGTCATAATTCACAATGTTCTCTCTGAGACAGTTCATCTGTAGGTGAACCTCTATGTACAACCTTCGATTCCATCCTGGAGAGTGGTGAGTACAAGATGCTTCTAGTCCATCATCTTGGCCTCCCAAGAGAGTCATTTCTGAGAAGCAGAGCATTTTAGCAATTAATTTAGAATATAACATTGCCAAAAGTTTAAGATCTACTCTTCAAAGGAATGTCTTCATTTTTTGGTTCTATTTGTTCAAGTTCATTCAGAGAGTTAAAAATGGGGGGAGGGACAAATTAGACCTGAAAAGTTCTTCATGGCCTGAGAATATGTGTCAGAAATATGTAGGTGAGTAAGGTTCAGAATTTGCAGTGAGACACTTACTGAAAAATGCAAGGAGGATTAAAGATTTTTAGCAGGGATGATGTGCTAACATGTACAAGATAGTTAAAATAATATTAAGTGACAAAGATGTAAGATCAACATGCATGTGAATGAGCTTGATATGTGATTATCTGAGAGAATTTCTTCTATCCATGGAGTTAGGACCCAAGCAAATTATTTGATGTAGTCTTTTGAGAGAGCTCTAGTTCACATGGTCTTTTGTTACCCATAATGTATATGTAGTTAGTGGTCTGCCTGTGTGCTTCCAACTCAGCTGAAATCCTTGTACTAATAACATTTAATAAAACAATTAATTTTTCTAGTCAAGATAGTGCATATCCATAAAGGATAGACCTTGGCTCTAGTTTTAAGCTAAATGAATCTATGATAGGCTCTTCTCTTCAACTCAGAGTTATTGAATATTTCATTTCTAAATTAAATGTGATGTATGAAAAGAATAATGTAATTCATTTATGTTGCTATATAGAATACAGATTAAAAGCACAGACTAAAATCAGAAAATACCCATTAATTACTTACTGTATGACCTTGGTTAAGTTTCTTAAAATGTCTAAATGTAACATCTTCATCTGCAAAATGAGAATGATGATATGGGACTTAGAATGTGGTTGTGAGAACTGGATGAGCTAAGTCATGGGAAGGACAAATTGCAGGGTGGCGCCTGTGGCTCAGCGGGTAGGGCGCTGGCCCCATATACCGAGGGTGGTGGGTTCAAATCTGCCCCGGCCAAACTGTAACAACAAAAAAAATAGCTAGGCATTGTGGTAGGCACCTGTAGTCCCAGCTACTCGGGAGGCTGAGGCAAGAGAATCACCTAAGCCCAGGGGTTGGAGGTTGCTGTGAGCTGTGTGACACCACCTCACTCTACCGAGGGTGATAAAGTGAGACTCTGTCTCTACAAAAAAAAGAAAAGAGAAAAACAAATTGCAAACAACAGTTGAGGAGAGGATTCTATTCAGGCTATTTCAATACAGAGAACACTTGTTAATAAGGAGAATCTCAAAGGAAAGAGGCAGGTGGCAAGGGAGTCACCCTGGAATCCCATAGTTGTTCTAGGAGTAAGAGGAAGGATGAAGTTAGTCTTAGCTTGGAGTGTGCAAGGGCAGGGTGGTCCTTTATGTGTTTTCTCCTGTGACTCTCTTCCGGGAACACAGGGCCTGATAAGCCTAACACAGCCAGTCTTTCCCTTTTGTACAAGACAAATGACCATCATTCATCACCGAAAAGGTCACAGGCAATTATAAACCTCCTGAGTGGGGTGAAGGAGGGTTGAAGACATAGTACCTCAATTACTCTTGTTGGCATTGTTCCTAAAAAACTAGTTGAACCATCTGTTGAAAGGTCATGGCAGAAGTCAGTTATTTTAGAGATCTGGAGTCAGGCATCTTAAAAGGGAGACACCTAAAAGTGGCGAAGAGAAATAGTAATATGATAAATTGCATGAAAATGTCAGTTGTTGAACCTGAATGTAAACTCGTTCAGTGGATTCTAAGAGGTTGGTTGCTGGAGGAAGTATTTTGTTTACATAATACTATTGGTTAAGTGTCTTGAAGCTCTTCTGCTAGGATGTGCATGTTTTTGGTGATGTTTTCCACGGTCTTAATTATCTCTCATATCCTTAGTAAAAAAAAAGCCTTGGTTTCCTTAAATAATCAAGGATATAATAAAGTCAGCATAAATCACAGAAGGTTTGTCTGTTAAGACCCAAACAGAATGCCTGTATTGAGGTAGATGACACACGAGGTAAAAATAACCATTTCTATTTCTTATTAAGAACAGACCAGGCTGGGTGGGGTGGATCATGCCTGTAATCCTAGCACTCTTGGAGGCTAAGGCAGAAGGATCACTGGAGGTCAAGAGTTCCAGATCAGCCTGAGCAATAGTGAAAACCTCATTTCTACTAAAAATAGAAAAAGTCAGCAGGCCTGGTGGTACATGCCTGTAGTCCTAGCTACTCAGGATGCTGAAGCAGGAGGATTGCTGGAGCCCAGGAGTTGGAGGCTGAGGCTGCAGTGAACTATGATGATGCCGTGGCACTCTAACCCAGGAAACACCTCAAGCCTCAGTCTTAAAAAAAAAAAAAAAATTAAAGCAGACCAATAATAAAATAAAGCCACTTAAAAATAGTAAACTTTGTTTTACAACAACACAATATTTGATAGCAAAGCTTTTTTTAATATAAATAAATCTTCAAACTTTAGCCAGCTTTGGCCATGACAAAATTTCTTTTCCACAAGTCTTTTATAAATCTTTATTGCCATATATATCACAGATCCAAGCTTCTTTGTAGCATATAAAAGTAAAAATCAAAAGTATATATCATTTCTAGGCCTTTTGGCGAAGATTAACTGTAGTGTTCCTATCGATTTAATATCTAATATATCCTCTATACAAAGACAATGTACTCAATGGACTTTTGGAGCAGGCTAATGGAATAGAAGCTTACTCCATCCACTTCACTCATCAACCTGGTATTGCAATACCTCCAGAAATACCACACCAAAACAAAAGGCACAAAACTTAAAATTATCATTAAGTAATTGATGTTTCAGTATTCTGTATTACTTGGAAATAATCTAGGAATCTAACGAATATCTCTTAAGTAATTCAGTTTAGTATCAATACAAGGTTTTCAGCTACCTAAAGATCTTTGAAGTTATTTTCAAGCTAGCATACTACAAACTATTAATGGCTGATGAAATAAAGTTTTCAAAATGATTATCCTGTGTTTTAAATACAAATTTACATTTTTATGACATAAATAGTAAGTAGAAGAAATATGAGCATATTTGCCAAGAAACTTGTATAAGTTTACAAACAACATACTAGAATGAAATGGAATAAAAATCTATGTGAATATTATAGTTAACACCAACAAATCAGAGAAAATACAGCTGTTTTCATTAAACTAAAATTAGTAAAGTTTCATTTGCAAAAGATTTTCCTAAATTATGGGCGCTTCCTAAAATACTTCTGAGTTGGTTTTTATGAGGATGTTTTTAAAACTTAACACATTGAAAGTCTTAGTAGTTCAATTTTCTTAATTTCTGGGAATTTTAGAAATGTTCAAGTTACATAAGCAATAATTTACCTCTAAACTAATCATGATAGACCTCTTTTAAGATACTTTATAATTAAATTTAGTAATACCATCTGGAGACAGGAAAATATTACACTCTTCTACAATGAGAGGTAAAAGCCTTTCTGAATTATAGATGTAAACATACACATAGAGAGAAAAAGCTTAGAGCATCAATTCTAAAACTTTAATTCTAGGTCTTGCATAAACCTAGAAATACAAACTCACTGGTTCATATCAAATAGCTATTCTCTTCCCAGTGGGTACAGGTTTTCCATTGTTTTAAACTCAAAATAGACACATAGACAAATACGAAAGACTAGCAAACTAGTCTCTGTCATGACGTACCCAACAAAGACCAGGTTATTCATTCATTTACAGAGATCACCAATGGGTCAGACCATACATAATACCACAGGAAGCCAACCCCCAAAATCAAGTAAGTGTTTTTTAAAAAATCAAAATCAGGCTGGGCATGGTGGCTCATGCCTGTAACCCTAGCACCCTGGGAGGCCAAGGCAGGAGGGTTGCTTGAGCTCAGGCGCTTGAGACCAGCCTCACCAAATCTCCCATCTGTAGCAAAAATAGAAAAAATTAGCTAAGGGTTGTGGCAGGCACCTGACATCCTAGCTTCTTGGGAGGCTGAGGCAGGAGGGTTGCTTCAGCTCAAGAATTTGAGGTTGCTTTGAGCTAGGTTAACACTATGGCACTCTAGCACAGGTAACAGAACAAGACTGTCTCAAAAAAAAAAAATCAAAATCAAAATCCAATCCTTATAGTGCTATCAGTGGACAAGAGCCCCATAATCTAAAATCAGAAGTCAGAATCACTACTGGGTCCTGGTTCCAGGAGACTTACCCAGGGTGGAGTGCACTGGGACTCCAAAAGGAGGCTGGTCTTATTCCAGTTATGGCACCAAACTGTGAGCAACTAATTACCAAACAAAGAGATTAATTTGGGGTGAGGAATAAGTAGTCTGATTTCAAAATTGTTCTTTTTTAAGCATCAAAGGAAGCAAGAAAAGCTTCATCATTCTCTATTAATGAAAAGATTTGTTATATAAAATTTGAATTCAGTCAAAATGTTGTACTTAAGGATCAGATAGGCCACAGGTTTCCTAAAGGCCACAGGTTCAGGAAGGGAGATGTTGGGGTATTTTAGAAGCAGGTAAGCAAGAGAGCCATGCAGGAGTTTGTGGAAGTCATGAGGATGAAAGGATGGAAGTGGGTCTCATCTCAAATTATAACATGTCACGATGATCCCTATAGGGTGGGAGGATTTCTTAACCACTGCTGCCTTTGCAGGAGCAAAGGACTCCAAGTGCTACGCTGTCACATTGTCAGTCATATAAACTGTTTGTTCATAAAGAACAAAGTATTGACAGTTATTGTTGGAGAGAGCAATAGACTTAGTACTCAGTAGCATACTTTCTACGTTCTATATTCTAATTGCCTAAGGTCAAATCCTGGGTCTGTCCTTTGGAGAGTCCTTTGTAATTGTCCCTATCTGACCTTGGGACAATTATATAATTTTTCTGATTCTTATTTATCTTACTGGTTCATCAGGCATTAAAACAGTGGCTGATGTGTGAAGATCAAATATAATAAAAATTAAAAATGCTAAGACCAAGTACCAGCACCTGGTGAGCTGGTATAAACAATGGTTAACTACTATCTTCATTTAGAAATAAACAAATGCCAGAAGAAAGTGGATGATTGTTTTATTCCTAAAATCTATTTGACAAAGTAAAGACTTTTATGGCACAACGACTCACTTTTTTATTTGCCAAGTCAGTTTGGTAATGCAGGTGGAAATTTTTGATAATTCTTAATATGATAACTAAACATTTTCATCACTTCCTTAAGATAGAGGGGAATTTTAAATGTTTCTTTAAAAAACTGTTTTCATTGCTAAGTAAATAAAAGTAATACCTAAGTAAAGAATTAAATAACAAACGAACACCAAATTCTAAGGCCAACAAAACGAAATGGTGTTTTTCTGAACTGTGTTAAAATCCTTAGTTCAGCTCTTTGCCATCTTAGCTATTATAAACTGAGATGGTTTCAGAAAATATATATATTTTTTAATTTTGCCATTTTCTTTTCCTTTAGTTGAGTAACATGAATGGCAAGAAAATCACACCAGATCATTGATTGTTGGTATGGATGTGGTTCTGTGAGGGCAGAAGGTTTGCCGTTGAAGAATACCAAGCAAAGTAGTCCTTGTAATTCTTGAGGAACCTCTAATGCAATTCTCTCCCTCTAAGCTTGGAAAGCTCTATCGCAGGCTCAATCTACAGCTTTCACTTCTCATTCTCCGACTCACGCTACTAATGCTACCTAATTTAATAATCTTTACAGTATGAAGAAGGAAAATTATTTATGTTATTTCCTTGACTCCAACCAGTGATGAGAACAGGCTTAAAAATAGGTAGGGAGATGGGGACGGTAAGATGACAGCAGTTGTTATCATTTTTAAGCTGAGTGTCTTAACCATTTACATCTGCACTGCAAAGGACTTTTTAGAGATATTACTTGCTTTCTATGTGGGATGAAACTAATAACCTTTGGCTACAGAACCATTCATCTAGCACACTGAAAAGTAAGACAGGACAAAACTTTCACTCATTCTAAGACTTACCAAAATAACAGGCAACTGTAGAAAACAGAAGTATAGACTTAAGAAGTTTCAAATCTATGCTCCATGCCCATAGCTCAGTGGTAACGGTGCCAGCCACATACACCAAGGGTGGTAGGTTCAAAACGGCCCAGGCCAACTAAACAACTGCAAAAAAAAAAAAAATAATAATAATAATAGCTGGGCACTGTTGCAGGTGCCTGTTGTCCCAGCTATTTGAGAGGCTGAGGCAAGAGAATCACTTAAGCCCAGGAGTTTGAGGTGGCTGTGAACTGTGAAGTCACAGCACTCTACTGAGGGCGATAGAGCAAGAGTCTGTCTAAAAAAAAGAAGTTTCAAATCTGCCTAAGTGCTTTGGAAGACAAGGCTAACCCTTAAGTGATATAGTAGTAAGTACATAACACAAGGTATAAGTTAGTGTATTCTCTAAGGTTAGATGGTCTTGGCTCAAAGTCTGAATACATCACTTATAGACTGTGGGCAAAGGACAACTACAAACTTAAGTTGCAGGTTTTGCAAGGTCATCTATCATCTTTCTTTGCAGGTCATATGTCACCTTGAAACACCTGGTAACCAGCACATATACCCTAGGTGAAAGAGCAGCTATTAATAAAAAGGATGACAAGGATAAGAACGTGTTGATAGAAAAATCAGAGCTGATCTTCACTGGTTCTCTTTAGACCAGTGTCTTTACCTTTGTGGACTGTGTCATGCTAATTGGACATGACACAGTCATGTGCACAAACCTAAAAAGTGAGAATACAGAAGCATATGCATGGCAGAACTGCTTTGAGGATTAAAAGAAAAAAGTTAAGTACAGTGGACTCTTTAAGCACACTGGTTTGGGCCGCACGGATCCACTCACACGCAGGAGCTTTTCAGTAAAGTTACAGCAGCAGTACCTGCGTCTGCCTCCCCTCCACCTCCCCCACATCTTCTGCTCCTGCCACCCCTGGATCAGCGAGACCTACACCCATTCTCCTTCCTCCTCTTCAGCCTACTCAATAGGAATACGATGAGATAAAGACTTGGATGATGAAACACTTCCACTTACATTTTTCTTAATAAGGTTTTATTTTTTCTAGTTTACTATAAGAATACAGCATGTAATACATATGACATACAACATACGTGCTAATGGACGGTTTATTCTATTACTAAGGTCAACAGTGGGATATTAGTAGTTAAGCTCAGGGGAAGACAAAAGTTATACATGGATTTTCTAATGCATAGGGGTTGGCACCCCTGATCCCCATGTTGTTTGAGGGTTAACTGTACTTAGCTCAGTTCCTGGCCCATAGTAAGCACTCTAGTGAAGGCTGTAGTAGTAGTGTAATATGTGTAGTAAATAATATAGATAATATATATACACACATAGTATTAAATAATTTACATATTAATATAATATATACTATGTTATATATACACACATATATACTATAACATATATACACACATAGTATTAAATAATTTATATATTACATACATGTTGCATGAACAACCCACAATTAGTGTATCTGACAGTGTATAATTAAATAGTACTTATGGTGATCAGATATAAATGTGGTAGCAAGTCAAAGGAAAGGAGAACCCTGGGGCTGTCAATAAAGAGGTTAATATTCTTTGTACCACGTCTGGCAAGCAGTCATCTCTCAATAAATGTTAGGTGCTTTTATTATCACCACTACTGATCATAGTAGACTTCATAAAGGAGGTTAAACTTGAGCTGAATCTCAAAGAATAAATATAAAAATCATAAAAGGGTCTCTCCTCTGAAAGCAACA